GGCAGGGGGGCTTGTGGAGACAGATGTTTCCCAGCTGGCCTGTCGGTTTGAACCTTTGGGGGCGAGAGTTCCATCAGAACCGCTGTCGGCTGCCACCTTCAAAGTCATCTTACAGACAGAGATCTCTGTTCCCCCTTTGGCGAGATGAGATTCGGCGACCCTTGGGGGGAACCGGCGACGACGAACGAGCGCTGTCGATGGTGCCCGTCGCTGTGCTGCGCTGCTTGCTGCTTGGCTCTTGGGGTGGGGAGTGCACAGACAAGCAGCTGCAGGGCATCCCCAAAGGGGGGAAGACGTCTCTTGGGGTCACGCCAATGAGCTTGGCTCCCCCGACGGGTACGGAGCTGCGTTGCTGTCTGCTGCGTGGGAGTCGGGGGAGACAGGGCCGACGAGAGTTCACCATGTGCTATGTTGTCGTGTACATCTGACATTTACAGCAAGCGCATCCATAGCAGTTTGTTGTCTTTGATGGTACATCTTGCCACCAAGACAGGTTTCCGGATACACTCTCGTCCAAGGCGAGAAGAAGGACGAGGAAGAAAGAGGAACAGGGCAAGGGGCGTTGACAAGTGTTGATGGATGCTGGTGCTGCTGCTGCCATCTGTCTCTGGTGCAGGGTGCGGGCCAGTTTGGCTGGCGTCTGTAAGTGGGTGTCGTCAAGGAATCCCCTGGGATCTGCAGAACATGGGAGGAGGGGGGGTCATTCCGTATCTGTCGTGCTGCAACGCCAGGGTGACAAGGGTGTTGTTGGTCGACTTTGCCGCCACGGATGTTGAGAGGTGTGGTGCTTGTTCTCTGTGGACGGGGGTTTTACCAGGGTCCATTCACATCAATTGAGGAGGATGAGAGGGGGCCCACGGGGGGAGGAGGCTTCAGGAGCCGAGGAGGGCGAGACGTGACGGAGAGAGAGAGAGAGAGAGAGAGAGAGGGAGAGAGAGAGAGAGAGAGAGAGAGGGAGAGAGAGAGAGAGAGAGAGAGAGAGGGAGAGAGTTGTTTGCACGAGTTGTTGGCGATGTGAGTCGTCGGTCGAAGAAGTAGAAGAAGAGTGTGTGGTCTTCTTTCGTGGCCTTGCCATGCTGGTCCGTCACCCACCTAGTGGCGATCGATGCTGACCGTCTGCCCAAAAGTCACGGCTACTTACTCGATGTCCCCTACGTGACCTTGCCTGGCCTTGCGCTCCCGACTACGACTAGTTGTGCCATGGATGCGCATGCTGCCTTACCTTAAGGCGTCTTAGCTCAGCTTCATCGAGTACCGATACACCTTGGGGGCGCTGAGGGAGGGCACCCACGACTCGCGGGTACGTATCTTTCTTGGAGAAGGAGAAAGAGAAAGAAGAGAGAGAGAGGCAGAGAGGACGGTGATTCTTTGGTGCCCCAGCCAGACAGCCCAGCCCAAAACCCCCAATCCAATCCCCAAGCAACGCCAGAGCCGGTGCGCGCGCTCCACCTCGTTCCTTTTCGGCAGGTGAAGGAGACAATCCCAGCTTCGGCGCGGATCAACGTCGGGTTGCCTTTGACGACATGCGATAGCGATAGTCGACGAGCTTCCCCTCGTGACCAGATAGCTTCCAGATCCCCGACTTGCAAAGAAAACGAAGAGAGCAGAGGACGAGGCAGACCAGCAGCGTTCCGTCTCTGCAATCGATCCGTGTTTCTCTTGTCCTGCAAACCCTAAATGCTCCCGGTTACATCTTATTTGTGCCGAAGCATTCCCAGACCGAACACCGCCAACCCCACCATCGCCATCGCCAGAATCACCGTGCTACGACCCCTCCAACCACGAACCCGTTTCTCGACCACCTCCCGCACAATGGCTCCGCCCCAAGCTGCCCTCGACTTTGTCGACTTTGTCAACGCCTCTCCCACACGTAAGAATTGCATCCTACCCCACAGACAGTCGCAAAAGCTCACACCCCGCTTCCAGCCTACCACGCCTGCGCGACCGCTTCGAAACTCCTCGAGAAGGCCGGCTTCACAAAGATCAAGGAGCGCGACTCCTGGAACTCGACCCTCCGTCCCGGCGGCAAATACTACCTCACCCGCAATGGCTCCTCCATCGTCGCCTTCGCCATCGGCAAGAAGTGGAAGCCCGGCAACCCCGTCGCCATGATCGGCGCCCACACCGACTCGCCCTGCCTGCGCATCAAGCCCGTCTCCAAGAAGAACAACGTCGGTTTCCTGCAGGTCGGCGTCGAGACCTACGGAGGCGGCATCTGGCACAGCTGGTTCGACCGCGACCTCTCCATCGCCGGCCGCGTGCTCGTCAAGGACGGCGAGGGCAACTTCGTCCAGAAGCTGATCAAGGTCGACAAGCCCCTGCTGCGCATCCCCACGCTGGCCATCCACCTCGACCGCAGCTCCAACTTCGACCCCAACAAGGAGAGCGAGCTGTTCCCCATCGCCGGCTTGGCTACCGCGGAACTGAACAAGGGCGCCGCCAAGCCCGAGGACACGGACGACTCCCAGGAGGACTTCAAGCCCCTCAAGGCCATGACGGAACGCCACCACCCGCACATCCTGGACGTCATCGCCGCCCACGCCGAGGTCGAGCCCGAGGCCGTCGTCGACTTTGAGCTCGTCCTCTACGACATCCAAAAGTCCTGCCTGGGCGGCCTGAACGACGAGTTCATCTTCTCCGCCCGCCTCGACAACCTTAACATGACGTACTGCTCCGTCGAGGGCCTCATCGCCTCCGTCAAGGACGCAAACGTCCTCGACAACGACACCACCATCCGCCTGGTGACGTGCTTCGACCACGAGGAGATCGGCTCCACCTCCGCCCACGGCGCCAACTCGAACCTCCTGCCCGCCGTCCTGCGCCGCCTCGCCTCCCTGCCCGGCAGCCGCGACACCGCCTCGGACGGCTCGTACGTCGCCGTCTCCTCCCACGACGGCGGCGACTACGAGTCCACCGCCTACGAGCAGACCCTCTCCCGCTCCTTCCTCGTCTCCGCCGACATGGCCCACTCCGTCCACCCCAACTACGCCGGCAAGTACGAGTCCTCCCACCAGCCCGCCATGAACGGCGGCACCGTCATCAAGGTCAACGCCAACCAGCGCTACGCGACAAACTCCCCAGGCATCGTCCTGCTGCAGGAGTGCGCGCGCCTCGCCGGCGTCCCGCTGCAGCTCTTCGTCGTCCGCAACGACTCGCCCTGCGGCAGCACCATTGGCCCCATGCTGAGCGCCAAGCTCGGCGTCCGCACGCTCGACCTGGGCAACCCGCAGCTCAGCATGCACTCCATCCGCGAGACGGGCGGCAGCGCCGACGTCGAGCACGCTATCAAGCTGTTTGAGAGCTTTTACGAGCGGTTCGGGGAGCTGGAGGAGAAGATTCTCGTTGATTAGGGTTTGCTGGTGTGCTGGTGTGTGAGAATTTAGTGGCGTTGCGGTGGCGTGGTGTTGGTTGTGAGAATACAAGTTTATTTCGAACAGTTGGATCGCGGTCGTGTGAGTTTGATGTGAAGATGACCCCGGAGATGTGCTCGATATTGGCCGTTATATTTCGTCCTGCCAATCTCGTCGCTTCTCATGAATTTGTGACGGAGACCTTTTCATCTGGACATTGTTGATGAATATGACCTGAACAACTCCCTGAATTAAGTCTCCGAATCGGAAAGTAACGACAGCTTCACCTCCTTCTGCTCCTGCCTCTGTCAGCTTTCATCTCACTTCTGCTCTTCTAGCGTCTATTTAAGCCGCCTCTGCTTCACACGATCAGCTACAACTCTTCCGACTACACGTCAGATTTCACATATCGTGGTGGGGGTATCTTCACTTTCACAATACCTGTCTACACTCTGAGTATATCAGCATCTTTTTATCATATTCTCTCGTCGTCCAGTCGAGGTCAAAGTCTGGACTCAAAGTTGAACGTCCAGATTTGACTTCACTCAACGATACTCACCACCAAACCCTCGCTTTATAAGTGGTAAGTGATTTACCCAACCTGCAAATGAAATTGCTCTTGCCTCCCTGAGACGAATTGAATCCTCATCTGCAAGTTCATACAGGCTGGACTTCCTTCCAATTTCTCAGACGTCCATTTCACTAGACCAATTTGAGAGCTCAGATCTCTTGTGCCCCCGACTGCACTCAAAGAACATCACCAACGTGGCCGATCAATTCGTTCCTGAGATACCACATTTTACTTACCTGGTAACTTTTCGGCTCAGTTTACCAATTTCTCGTCATTTTGTTCTCAGAAGGAGTCAATCAGGTGCTGCTCAGTAAGAGTCCCGCCAGGTACCAAAAGGAGCAGGAACGAGTCGAATTCTCAACAGCGCCTTCCCTTCCCGTTCTCAGACGACAGCCAAGCCCCCATTTAAGTCTGACCCCGCCTGAGGCTTTTCTTCCGACTTCAACCCAGCCCTCGACATCAACTCGGGATTCTCACATTGCCGAGTTGGGAGCTACCTTCGACAGATATCACATCGAGACTTCACCAGAGCAACCCCGACTCTGCAATCTTGCGAATCCGAAATACTCCAGGTCGAAGATTTCGTTACTGCTCATTCTGAGCCCAAATCTCGAGATCTCCATATCGACGACAAGATTCACGCAGTCAGAGAGCAGAGCCGCAGCTTCCGAGAACGGCCCAGAGGAACCAGAGCTCATCCCACTCGACTTACCATCTCGTCTCCTGCAAATCGTGTTCTTGCCCACCGCGTCCGAAAACCTACCCTGACCATCTCAACAGCCACCGGGACCAGGTTTTCTGATCGAACAGGTTCTGACACTGCAATTCTCTTTTCGGGAAGAAAGATGGTCGAGCAGATCATCTAAAATATCACTGAATTCATCCGAACGTCGATCATCTACCAGAGCTTCATCTATTGCAACATCTCAACATCTCAACTTCCTTACTTGCGCACCTTTCATCACCATATATCTGCAACATAACCAGATTCTCACCATTACCGGTATGTTCCAGCCTTTGTCCCAAACTCCTCTCGGTCAAAGAACTAACACTTCTTCACAGCCACGAGAACCGCCAAGATGTGCCAGAGCGGTTTTTACTACTACAAGTGCACTCACCACGAGGTCGTCAGCTTCCCCTGTGACAAGAACCGCTGCCGTCGCCTCCTTGAGCCGTTCCACACCTACCTCCACGACCAGCTCTGCCACGACTGCGCCGAGCTTGGTCGCCAGAAACGACAGGAGCGCTGCCGCCGCGAGAGCTGCCTTGACCAGCAGCCCCCGTCCCGCCCCGCGTCCCAGATGCAGATGCATGGCCAGCAGCAGAGTACCCAGGGACAGGGACAGGCTCAGACCCAGCAGTCCCAGGACCCTCAGTCCTCTTCTCCCGACAGCAAGGGTACCATCCGCCCCCTCGAGACCAACAAGCTCGCCAACATGGACTGCCGTCTTGAGGGCACCTTGGGCCTCACCCCCAGCGACGTCTACCGTTTCTACCGCCACTTGCGCATGTAAAGGGGAGCTGAGATGAGCTGAGCAGTGAAGAAAGGGTGGGAAGAAATTCTTGACGCTATGGGGTAACGTTGCGAGGGGTGGCATATAATATCAGCGCGGTGTAGCGGTCGAGGGTAGAGGGCGTTTTGGTGTTGAGGCAGCAAGGAACAGCGCTTTCATCTGGGGAGACTTGCTTTACAGATCATTAGTGAAATGACATTGACGTTTTTGGACCAATGCTAGTCCGATGTCTTTAAAGTGATACGTTCTTGTTGAACTCACTTATGGTGAGAAGCCACCAACCAAAATGTATTAAAAAAAAATAAAAAAATTCAGTCGAGAGTACAATACAATACAAGACACTACAGAGTACAGTACAATGCTATACAAATTACAGTGCAGTACAATACAAATACATGTATTAATTGCTCCTGAATCATCAACGCGGGTATGTGTAAGTTTTCTCCTGGAGATGTGCAGATCCTCGCTGGGATGTGATATGGAAACATCGTCGGAGAACAGCAATATGCCGATTCCTAAAATTGGACGTATGTTAGATCGCAAGGAGTTACTCAGGAATACCCGACACCCTATGTCATGGCAGACAATGGATGAGATGAAGTTGACGGTCCGACTTGGCGGCTCCAAGACTGGTTCTTGGAGAGCAGGGGGAATTGTTAGTGCAGCGACTAAGAACCACGAACAGGGATCGACGGCGCTGAGCGTCGTCCCCAGCTGAGCTCTGACAGCTCTGCCTGCCCCGTGCTCCAGCTCTCAGCTCTGCACCGCACGTGGAGTCCCAGAGTCTAGAACGCCCCTAACGACAAGGCCAGATGGCCAACTCTTTTTTTCCGCCCCGAACGTCATCAACCCGAGTGTTCTGCTCCTCATTCCATTTGCGCCAGACGACCTCCTCCCCAAACATGGTCCAACTCTGAGTCTTTCAACGTCCAATCCTGCAGACGAGCCCGCCACGCAACCCTGCGACCTGTCTCGATTCAATTGATCCCGCCGCCAAGACCTTCCAGCTCCGCCAGCCATGGCTCCCTCCCCCTTTGACACCGCGAAGCTCACCCTCGACTACCTCCCCTACGCCTGCGAGTTCGACCCCCAAGATGCCAACAGGCTGCTCGTCGGAGGCGGCGGCGGCGCCAACAGGTCCGGCGTCGCCAACAAGATCGTGCGCACCCATCCCTGCCGTCCCGGCCCCCCAGACAGAATGCGACTGACACTTGCGAAAAGACAGTGATCGACACCTCGGCAAAGGACGAGCTGCGCATCGCCGGCGAGGCCGACCTCAGCCGCAACGAGGACAGCGTCATGACCCTCGCCGTCGGCCCCAAGAAGGGACGCACCTCCCACGTCTACGCCGGCATCAACTCGAGCCCCGCCGACGTCGAGAAGGGCAAGAACGAGCACTTCCGCGTCTTCGGCGTCGAGCAGAGCAAGGCGCGTCTCTCCGTCGGTGCCAACAGCCCGAGCGTGAACCTCGCCGAGCTCTCGCGCTCCGCCCTCTTCGCCCCCGCCGAGAACGACAAGGACGCCTACCAGCGCCTGCTGAGGCTGTCGGCGCCCTTTGGCGAGAAGCACCAGCTGGGCGCCGTGGCCACTGGGCTGGCGAAGCAGTCGCAGATCTCGCTGTTCGAGGTGTCGGCCGCTTCCGGGGCTGCGGTGAAGCCGAGGGGCACATTGGAGATCTCGAGGGAGGCGATGGATCTGGATGTCATTCAGACCGGGGACGAGACATTCCAGGTTGCCTTCTGCGATGAGCGCGACCTCTTCGTTGTGAACGTCACCAAGAACAGCGTGGATGGGCCGCACCTGGCTTTCACAATCAAGGAGGACGGCGCCGGTGTTACGCCCATCTTCAGGTCGATCCGGTACTTGTCGCCAAACTTCATCATGGCAGGCTGCAACCTTCCGAAGCGCACTGGTGTGGTTCTCCTGGGCATCCGGCTGCCGATGAAGGAGGAGAAGGGCCGTCTGGCTGCGTCCGCCAAGCTGCCAAAGACAGTGACCCAGGCGACTACCATTGCCGTGCGGAACCTGAACCCGGCGTCAACACCCGAGGCCAAGCTCGGCAACACGCAATTCGTCGTGGCCGTGGCAGGTCAAGACCGCTCCGTCTCGCTCTTCACAGTCGAGCACAAGTCTCTCTCGAACCTCGAGCTCCTCACCAACCTCGAACGCCTGACGACGCTGAAGGAGGTCCACCCTTTGAACATCACCAACGTCGCACTGTCTCACTTCGTCCCGCCCAAGACGACCGCCCGTCCTCAGTACCTCAAGCTCGCCAGCATCTCCATGAAGAACACTGTCGTCGTGCACTCGATCCTGCTGAAGAAGTTCACCGACAGGGAAGTTCCCCTTCGCAAGGGCGGCCCGCCTAGGCCCCAGCGTTACGCCGTTGCTCTGCAACCCAAGAGATACGGCACCAAGGCTACCATTACGCTCGCCAGCATCATCGTCCTCGTCTTGGCCGTCCTCTTCCAGATCGGCCTCGAGTCGGCAGGCGTCGTGAGCCCGCGTTTCCTCGCCAAGACGAACACCCTCGCCAACCCCAACACCCCCAACGAGTTCCTCTCGACGCTCATCGGTGAGGTCCACGCGCTCCAGGGAGACCCGATCGTCATCCGCGAGGACGCCGTCACTCCTACCCACCCCGAGGAGAACCCGGTGCCGAGATTCCAGGCCGCCGTCCACGACGAGGCAGTCTACGGCCCCGCGGTCAGCTGGGACGATCTCTCGGCGCAGCAGAAGAAGCTCTGGAAGGAGAAGCTTTCCAAGGCGGGACACTGGACGCAGAACATGGGCGAGAGTGTGTTCAAGGGCATTCTGTTCGGCGAGCTGGCCGGTGCTGTGAGACAGGCTGTCGCCGGTCAAGTATGAGAAGCATGGGTGTATGGATATATATAGAGTATTTTACGATCATGTCATTGCTAGGACTGCCTATGGGCACTACGATTTTAATGCAGAAATGTACTATGAACTTTGACTTGGTTTTAGTTGCGACGCCATTGATGCTTGTGGTGCGTTTTTGCTATGCGGGGCTTCATGTGCTATATACATGCGTAAACATACTTTTGAGTTATAAGCATCGAATGCGACGGGCAGAGTGATTGAACGTGCAAACGGAATAGTCTAGATGCCACTCCAAGTCAATGGAGGCACATCGTCACTGACCGTCGAAATGTGTTGAACGGTGCCACCACCACGTTGTCCGCCACTGTCGTCTGGCGTGTATGTCTATTATACTCTGACTTTGATTCAAATTGCTTGCCAATAGGGGCACAACAAAATCATCAGAGCCAAGGCTTAGGTCATGGGGTAGGAGGCGGCGATAGTCCTTTTTCCACAGTGCAGAGAAATTTGGCGGAAGAGTCTTGGCCTTTCCATTTGCATCTATCTTGACCATTGCGAGGCGTCCATCATCCACGTCTGTCGAGTATCCAGAAGGGTATTCAAGACATAAGGTAGCTCTGGCATCAGACAACTCGAAGACGGTGTGATGAGGTGTTTATCGATGCAGCGCAATGTCTTACGAATAAAATCATTGTCTGGCCTTTAACACAAGCGAACAGACGCCGACATTGTTTTCTTAATATTCAGAAATTTTGAACGAAAAATAGTTGGTCAACATTCTCTTACAACTTCTGGCGCTGGAAGTGTCCGAGAACGAACGGGACACAATCTCCTGGCAGTGGTTATGAGGGCTTGAATGTCTTGCTGGCAAGCCCCGAGTTTGTACAGATATAAGGATTGAGTCTCCCGTTATTGTCAAGCCAGGCGCGCAATGAAACACTTGGTTCGCTGCCGTCTTTGACAGAAAACATTCAGGTTTGCGTGATCCTGGCTGCTTCTATTGAGGGATCTTGCCTACTCTGCTGGGACGGGTGAATGTCAGCAGTCTTGCTGCCACGACAGTATCATCTTCACTTTCCGTCACTTGCCGCGGACACTTATTCACGGCGCGTATTTGGATGGTGATTGAAGTTGCTGAAACTCGAGACAAGGCTGGCATACCCAAATTAGATTTGGGTACAAAGCTATTCGCAAGCCTTGCTTCGTGGATTCAACCAACGGAACAGGCCACTGCGAGATTGACGTCTTCTTCGTTTGCAGCATGCTTGGATGTCTGAAATAAATAGCAAAGGCAGAGGCAGAGATCAGCCCGTCGATGGTTACCAAGATACGTACTATAACGAGTATTCGACGCGCAGCCAGCTCATTGAAATTGTTTCTTGACAAGAGTCTTCCGAGTACTTTTCTGTCCTTGCAGCCCACAGCAATGTGATTGACGTAGTGGATTAGATCTAGGATAGACCGAGGAGCCTCACAACACTGATTACCTCTTCATCCCGAATCACGCGTTATTACAGCATCTCTGGACTTGTTCGTCTCCGTGAGTCGTCGTCGCTCTCTGAGGATATGTCCTAAGAATACGCAAAGTATTCAACAACTGTGCGAGGGAGACTTCACGTCTTCTTATATATGGGATGTCGTCAAGAAGCTTTACCAAAGACCTTCCATACGATTGGTGTCGATTGCATGCACACAGTAGTCAATACGAATGAATTGCTTGGTTTGGAATATTGAACATTCGGCGCCTCGGTCATTTTTATATGTATCCAAGCCAGGGACAGAAGCCCTCTTGGCAAGCCACAGGCCTGACTTGCCAAAGGAACTTAGAACGCTTTCGCGATAGCAGCCTGGGAAGCTTCTCTAAGCACCCAATCAGACATGGCTTGTGATTTAGCTGGCTTTCAACGATGATAGAACCATCAAATTTGTTTGTCCTGTGGAAGTGCACATGTTGAAAACCTAGTGATCGACGAAAGCCACCTTCATCCTCGTCCGTCAAGCCCATCTGCGGGGTATACCTGGGCTGCTTACATTTCAAGAGTTGCTCAAAGTGACATCGATGCTGAGATATCGTGATGCAGTACCTCTCATTGGACACCCTCCACTTTTCTGCGTGGAATGACCACTTCATGCTTTCTGTCTACCTCCTCTCTGTTAAGACATCTTTGTCGTACTTGTTTAAATACTTTCTGCTTTGTGTTGGACCACCGTGGCGAATGCGCTAATGATTTGACTGATTTGACTGATTTGACTGATTTGACTGATTTGACTGATTTGACTAGTGGCTTGATTGACTAATGGCTTGATTGACTAATGGCTTGATTGACTAATGGCTTGATTGACTAATGGCTTGATTGACTAATGGCTTGATTGAACCAAATCGGCTAAGCAAATCAAAAACCAATTTGATTAACTCAAACAAATCGACTTAGACATGCTTCCCACTCTAAGTCACGATCTCGAGACGGGATCGTCGTGCTTTCATGGATCATTAAGGGTCGTATCATTCGCAGAGCTTGGCTCTACGTGTGCTGTTGTCTAAACCAGGAATCTGCTCATGTGTGTATCATGCGCGCTTCTAACCAAAACACGAACCAAAGAAATGTAGCTAGATGGAATCAGGCACCTGTGAAATGCCTCAAAAATCACTTCAATCACCTAAGAAACGTGTCTCGACCTGCCCTTGTCCGTCGTCTCGCTCATGGCGCTCTCCACGCTCGCCTGCGACTCCTTTCTCTCCTCAGCCCTCTCAGCCTTGTTCTCAAAAGCGAGCCCGGGGTGTCCAAGACACAGTGAGAACACGGCAAGCACAATCAACCTATAATCATTGTTAGCATACCGAAGAACCTCAAGACCACAGGCAAACTTACACTCCCTCCAAGCCGATAAACAGCCCCTCGTCCGTAACCTTGGTCGAGTTCGAGTATCCCTCACTCAGCTCATCGACACGGTACGAGCACCGCGCGAGGATGAGCGCGACAGCCAGGGCCAGGAACCCGAAGAAGATCTTCTCGCGCTGCGTGAGCTTGCGCTTGTAGCTCGACCGCGTGTAACGGATCATGTAGTCGGCGAAGACGGCGCAGAAGACGACGATCACGACGACCTGGATGACGAGGCCGCCCATGGCCAGATTGACGCCCAGGTCCGAGTCGCCCTTGGAGTCGGTGCTGATGGCGCCGCCGGCGGCCTGGATCACCAGGCACGACACGTCCAGCGCGATGAAGACCCAGTAGAGCGCCTTGGGGGGCAGGCGTGCGAGTTCGGGCCCGAGGTGGGTGATGCTGTTGGAATGCAAGAGCTCGAGTCAGCGAACGAACTTGTCTCTCGGTTATGGCGTTCTGACACCAGCATGCTTTCTTTTGGCATCGCAAGATTGCGATCGCGTGTAAGGGGTGGGTTCGCCCAGATCCAGCCCCAGGAAAAAGCAAACGCCGCCGAGATGACAGTGACGACCGAAAACAAGGTGAACAAACGGAAAATCTTACGCTTTGGAGAGGGTCACGTAGATGGCGGCGGTGTACCAGACGGGACCGCTGGTGATGAAGACGATTTGCAGCATGAAGGGGACGAAGGCGAAGGGGTTGTGGTAGAGCATGATGCGGCCGATGTAGCCGACGATCTCGCTGAGGCAGCCGAGGACCATGAAGGTCATGAACCAGTAGGAGCGCCAGCGGATGCCGAGGAAGATGTGGATGAGGCCTGCGAGGCCGTAGAGGGCGAGGAAGAGGGCGTTGACGGCGATATTCGGGCGGTACCTGTACAGGCTGTAGTGGATGTCGCAGATTTCGAGGGTGCAGTTTGCGTCGGGGCCGAAGACGACGACGTACGGCGGGAGAGGCGGCGGCGGTCCGGCCATTTTGGGTGATGGTTTGTGTGAAGATGACAGAGGTGTAGACGGGACGGATTCGAGAAGGGCGGGAGGCGGAAAGGGCTTCTTCTATGAGGATCGCGGCTGGGAGATGTGGTTTGTCTTGGATGCCGGCTATCGTGCTCGGGCCTTGGATGCTGAGAGGAACAAGCAAGCGTGTCGATACACTCAGGACCGGAAAGGGGCCACGCTATATACATACAAGATTGTCACAGGGAGGGAATATTGGATTAGAGTCTGGAACACGATGGGGGCGTTCACAGCATGGACGGATCGCGGAATCCAGGTACGGAGGAGACACTCGTCATCACTAGGCGCATTAGAGGGCACCCAAGGCTCGCATTCTCTTCGATGATTCAGATAGACTCGTGGCTCGAGGAGCAGCAACGCCAATCATGTCGGAGCCAGTGGGCGGTGCAGCCGTCAGCCGGGGGTGTGCGACAGAGCCATCTCACCTTCCCGGCCGATGTGAAAGAGGCTGAAGCAGACGATCCGCCTGACGGCAGTGAGCTGAAAAGGGATGCATTCTGCGCTCGTAGCTAGCTGGGCAGCACAACCTTAGTCTGGATGGCGAACCGAAGAAACGTGCGTAGGGCGAGAGAGATCGGCCGTTAAGGATGGGACGGCGTCTGTCTTGGCTGCTAAGCGAGTGCGGAAGCGGGGCCGGGACGGACATGTCAGATGCGAATGGCAGAGGAATGCTGCGTGGCTGCGTGCGTGCGAACAGGGAGAGAAAGGAAGCTGTGGTCTGTGCGAGCGAGTGCGAAAGGGCGGGCGCGTCAAATGCGTCCATTTTGGGCAACGTGGAATCCGTCGGTGAGGAACAGCCAATTAGCTGGGACGGACGAGGCCTTGAGATGACGACGGGCTGATAAGTCGGAGGAAAGTTGGGACGGTTGGGCTGGGTTTGGATGATGTGCTGCGCTGCAGGCTGACGGGGGGCTGTAGGGCTGGGCATAACCAGGGCATTGGAATCTCGACACGAGATGAAGGTGTCATTGATCTGAGGCTCATCCCACCATTTCGAAGTATTGGTGGTGATGGCCATGCCAAGGGTTCTGCCTGTGAAGTGGAAGAAGCCGTCGCAATCGCACTGGCTGTTGCCATGGACGGGTGCGTGCCTCTGCTCGAACGCCAGCGCGGACTTAGGCGCTGGATGATTTGGGCACGCTGTCTTAAATCTTGCTAGAGGCTAACTCAAGCCGACCGCTGGAACGAGGGCGTCACGTCTGGTGTGCCCGCGCGCAATGCCGCCGAATCGGGACAGCGCGTTGAGGGGTCTAGACCGACGGTTGATCGTTTCCTCCACGTTCTTTGACGGAGCTGCTTTCGGGCCGGCACAGCGGCGAGATCGGCGACACATCTCGATCCTTGCATTTGACGTTACGAGGTTAATGACATGCCGGTCATGTGCTGTTGATCCGAAGCTTTGGGATTCAAGTTCGGGCGTGGGGCCGCTACTCGGCGCCGGAGGCCGGGCCCCGGTGTTCGGGGCAGCCACCGGAGACCGTGTCGTGCAATCTGCGTTACACCTTTCAGTGACCACGTGTACTCAAGATACGTATTCTTGGAATCGTTTCGAGCGAGGCTTGATCTGTTTCTATGCGGTAAGCATATTCAGGAGATGGGACGAACTGGCCGAGTCATGCGGCCTCTTTCTCTGAAACAACACGGACAGGCCATATTGCAGAAGTTACGATTCAGCCACGTACATATCAGCAGGCGGCTCAGTATTGGCGAGAGAGAATCATTAATTATTATCGGTAGGTACGATGAATGATCGTCAACCCGCTCGGTGAAATATAGGTGCATGAGAATAGAACAGTTGTGCACATCTATTTAAAGTTGCGTGCTCTCTGGATTCGGCATTTGTGTAGGCGAGGCCACGAACTAATCATCTCAGCCCGAATTCAGACGACAAGAGCACTCTACTGCAGACAATGTCTATCTTTGGCTTCTACGATGTTCGTCTGATTTGGCTGTGGGCCGTGGAGTTTCCGCAGCCCTGTCGGCCTGATCCGAGTCTATCTCAAACATACCCACAAAGACCCATGATGCTCAGTGACAGAAATTCATTTTTGGAGAAGCCTCTTAGACGGCACCCCTCCACCGCTATACAGCACCCCTACGCCCCCAGGGCACCCCTATTAGCTATACCAGCCCGCTGAAAATCAGCTTTTTTTGCCTACCTATCTACTTACCTACCTATCTACCTACTTACCTACTTCTACTTTAGCGATATTTTTTTATTTTATATACTACTATCTTTATAGCTATTTAGACTTTTTAACTATTTAATTTTTATGATTTTTTGTATTTTTATATAATAAACGTTATAAACCCTAATAGTAAACCTCTATTAATAAGCATAATATATAGTAATCTTAAAGCTATTAAGACTATATTTAATAACTATACTATTATTAATAGCTATACCTTATATATTAATACTTCTAAAGGTAATAGCTATAAAAAAGAAGACTATATATATATTATTTTTTATTATTATAAAGTTAATATATTTAAGCTTAATTATATCTCTTATAAAAGGTATTAATAGTACGTTTATATGTAGGAAACTAACTATTTCTTCTATTTTACTATAATTATAAAAATAATAGTATTTATATTTCTAACTATATTAAGAAGTTAAGCGCTTATAAATATACCTATAACTAAATAAATAAAAATATAATTACTAGCTAATATTACTAACGCTATACTTTAGTCATTACTAAGATTATAAGGTTTTATAAAGCTAATATTAAACCTAACTAAATCTAAAATTACTTTACTATTATATTTAGCTATAAAAATAATATATACTCTACTTATAATATTAGTAACATTATTAATACTACTTACTACTAAAAAGTTAACGCTAAAAGCCTAATTAAGTAGCTTTTTTAAAATCTTAAGAAGTATAAAGTCTTTTTTTACTATTAGTAGGATATTATTAACTATATTAATAAGCTTTTTTAAATACTTTATAGCTATTAATACCTCTTTATTACTTATAATAATATCCTCCTTATAGATTATATTTATAAAACTAATTGCTATAAAATACCACTATTTAATATATATAATATTACCTCTATAAGAGCTACTTTTTCTATTATTATATATTTTTTAAACGCTAAAAAGAAAGCTAACTATATTTAAATATTTTAAGCTTTATAAGAAGCTTTTAAAGAGGCTAAGATTACCCTATTTACTTATCTTATTAGTAATTAAGAACTTATTTTCCTTAACGCTATTAACTATAGCTTATTTTAAAGTAGTATTTCTTTTTTTCTCTATTATTAGTATATATTTACTAATATCTATACTTATACTAAGCTTTTATTTTCTAAAGCTATAAAACTACTTAATAATTTACATATACCTAACCTAAAATATATAGCTTTTAAAGAAGCTTTTATTACTCTATTTATCTTACTTACTAAAATAGAGTATAACTAAGCTTTAGTAATATTTAAGAGGCTTAAAATCCAGCTAGAGAAGTTATTAGCTTATATTAAAAAATATATAGTTTATATTATAAGCTAAACAGCTTATAGCTTATTAGACTAATTAAATTACTTATTTCAGCTGTACTATTTTATTAGTTATAAAGAGTATTAATAGCACTATTAAAAGCATTATCTCTAAAAGTAACTTATCCTTTAATAAAGTTTGTAGTACTTTTATAGTTTTCTAATATAAATAGAAGCAGTATATCCTTTATAATTAGTTAAAATCTAGTAATAAAATATCTATATTTACTAATAATAAGAGAGCTATCTTCTAGCGAATTATTAACTTTATTAGCTTAATAGGTTTAATAATCCTATATAAAAAACAGCTTATAACAAGCTTTGAATATAATAACTATGATAATATAATATTACTATTTATATTTAAAGTAGAGGTAGTATATTATTAAGCTTAGCTTTACTTAATTTAAACTATGTATAAGCTATTTTATTAGTACTAACTATTTTAATAGATATATAGGGAAAACCCTTATTAGTTATATTAGTTTCACTTATATTATTAGTATTATAGAGATCTTAATTTTAATACTTTTATTATATATAATGCTAATACATAACCTCTTCTACTATTTTAAGTAATTAAGCTTTATAGTAAGCTTTAAGATGCTATTACTAATAAGCTAAAGTTTTATTAATATAGCTATAATATTAACTCTATTTTTTAACTACTTATTATTAATAAAATCAGTAAATTTAAATATTAAAAAATATTTAGTTTACATTAACCTTAAAATTAACTACTTAATTTATTAATATTACTACCTTAAGTTTAATATATATTATACTAACCTCTAATATTTTTAAAAGTAATATATAGGTACTTTAAGCTTTATAGCGTTAATAAGTAACCTTATTAGAAGATTATACTATTAAAATCTTATTTTTAAGTAAATTAAAAGCTAATAATGTTATTAATAACGCTTTAAACTCTTTTATTAATAATAATTTAGAAGTAAATATCATTATCCTTAACTAAAATAATATATTGACTACTAATAAATCTAATAATAGGGAACTTATAATATTATTACTTATTAAAGCTTTTAAGCTTAAAATTAAAAATAAAGTTATTAATATATAGATAATAAATATTAACTTTAACCTATAAAACTTATAAATCGCTCTACTTATTAGAGTTAAATATTAATTTTATATACTATAATAATAGAGAGCTATAATAATAGCTAAAATAACTAATATTAATAGTAATATTGATATTATTTAGTTACTAGATTAAACCCTCCAGAAGTATTAAAGCTAATTAGAAAACTTAAATTATTAGTTTTTCTTTCTCTTGTAAACTTTTTTCAAAAAATATAAAAAAACTAAATTTTACTAAGTTATATTAATTATTATAATAAAAATCTCTTCTTAGAAAGTTATATAAAATTATAATTTTTAGCCTCGAATTAGCTAAATCTACTTATATACTACTAAATAGTTTAATAA